AATAAATTCAGCTCCGCGAGCAGGTCTTGTTCCCAAGCATGTTTTATAGATTAAATGGAAAAAGATTTTAATTACTTTGACCCTGAACAACTTTTATCTCAGTTTTTGACACTTTACTGCTTTATGTGACTGGAATCCAATTATTCTTCAAACTCCCCAGAAGGAACAGGCTTCTCAAAGAGAAATTTGTCTAGAATCCAGTGCTATTATCCTAACAGCTGTTTTTGGGGGTTTTTTGTTTGTTTGTTTTTTTTTGTCTTTTCTGGTGCCCAACCTTTTCATTAGGGAAGCATTCCTAGAGCAGAGAGGATTTTTAATCAGAAAACCTTGTCCTCGCCCCATCGCCACTGGGCAGTGCAGGAACCACGTACAGGCTGCTCAGGCCACTGGGCAGTGCAGGAACCACGTGCAGGCTGCTCAGGCCAGCGTCACCATTCCCAAGTTGGACGCAGTTGCAAGGGGTCAGACTGGAGACCACAGGTCATCCTGCCTGGGCATCAGGATGGATCAGGGCACAAAACTTAGGCACTTGCTGCCCTTAAGCTGGACTGTGTTCATATTTGGAAAATCTCTCTGCATCTCCATTAGGACATTTGTTTGTAAACATCCGAGGCTGGATCTGCAGTAACAATGCCAGGGCATTTGCCGTGAGGACAGAAGGACGCTGCTAAACTCTGTCTCACATGGCTGATTGAACATGTGGCTTATTTCCTCGTGTTCCCAAGATCACCTGGAAATGAATGCAAAGGAACTTCTGAAAAGGTTTAGGGAGAACAAGGACATCTCAGGTGGAAGTTCATGTGTGGATGTATATAAGCATATATGAATGAATATGCTTGGTTTTGCTGCAGTAAACAAGCAAACAAACAAAATTCAGTGCAGAACCCCAGATCTCAGTGGCTTAACACAGAAGTTTCTTTCTTTGTCGCGCTACCTGCCCATCAAGCGTTGGCAGGAGGCTCTGCATATTTGCTCACTCCTGGACCAAGGCTGATGGAGACTTCTGTTCACACACTGCCACGATCACCTTGGCAGGAAGAGGAAGGGAATATAGCAAAACAGACCCTTAACGCTCCTTCAGGGGACAGATACATATCATTTTCACTCACATTGTACTGTTTAAAAGAAGTCACATGGTCACACAAACCGAAGGGATCAGGGAAATGTATTCCTTTACCTGAAAGCATTTGGTGGCCGGCACTATCACATAGCACCCATAGCAAACTTCTCTACGTTCTGGTATTTTGGTTGCCAACACATAGCAACAGCTCCCAGCCCCTCAGCAGAAAGCCAATCCCGACAGTTAGCAAGCCCCTCCTCCCCCGACCCCTGTCCACACAAAGACAGTCCATCTGACTTCATGCGGGAAGGAGAGTCTGCAACACAAATGGGAAAGACCAAGATAAACTGACAAAATGACCCTCGAGAAAAACAAGACAACTCAAATAATAGAAAATCAACATCTCTAATAACTATTCATAGAAAGATTTAAGATGTTGTTGTATCCATAAAGCAAGAACAGAATGCCATGAGAAGAAATAATCGGAAAACAAAAATCTCAAAAATTTAAAATATGACTATCAAATTAAAACCATGTGATAAAAGGCACCCTAAACAAAGAAATAACAAATGACAGACTGGGGAAATATGTTTGCAACATGTCTAATAAGGAGTTTGAGTCCAAAAACAATCAAATTATATTAATACGTATTAAAATATATTTTTTAAACTCCTGCGTATCAATTAAAACAAAAGACAGTAGAAAATTGGGCAAAGGTTATGAAAAAGGCCATTAGCTGAAGAAGACACACAAATGGCCAATAAGTATATGATGATGCTCAAGCTCATTGGTAATCAGGGAAATGCAAATTAAATCTATGACAACATTTTTTCACCTATTGGATTAGCAAGTATTAAGAGGATTGGTCATTTCAAGTATTTAGAAGTCTGTGAATAAACATGTACTCTCATATAGTTTTGGTTCATGTATTAGTCAAGCTGTTATGGAGGGCAAATTAGCAGTACTTTTGACATTTAAACTGCACATGTGTTTGACTCAGTGCTTCTACTGTAGCTAACTTGGTAACACATTGTATGTATGTACAGGAAGACATGTAAAAAACTGTTCATTGCAGTATTGCTTCTTTTTTTAGCATGTTTATAAATATATAATTCACATGTTATAAAATTCTCCTGCATAAAGTGTGCAGTTCAGTGAGCTTTAGTATGTGTACCACCTTGTGCAGCCATCACCACAACGATCCCCAAAAGAAATCCTGTACTCATTAGCAGTCATTCCTCATCTCCCTCTTACCCCAGCTGTAGGCAACCACTAATGTAATTTCTGTCTATGGAGTTGCCTATCTGAACATTTCGTATAAATGGAATCGTGCAATATGTGGTCCCTTGTGACCGGCTTCCTTCACTTAACATAATATTTTCAATATTTATCCATGTTGTAGCAAACATCAATGTTTCATTCTTTTTATTCCATTGTTCAGATATACCCCATTGTTTTAATACATTCATCAGTTGATGGACATTTGGGTTGTTTCTACTTTTTGGATATTATGAATAATGCTAATAAAATTTTTTGTGTGCAAGTTATTGTGTAGACATGTTTTCATTTCTCTTGTGTGTATATTCCTAGGAGTGGAATTAGTGGGTCATATGGTAATTCTATGTTTAAACCTTTTGAGGAGCTGCCAAGATCTTTTCTAAAGTGGCTGCCCCATTTTACATATTTACTGGCAATGAATGAGGGTGCCAGTTTCTCCACATTCTTTCCAACACTTCTTATTCTCTCTTTTTTTGTTATAGCCATCCTAATGGATGTGAAGTGTTATGTGCTTATGGTTTTGATTTGCATTTCCCTAATGACTAATGATAATCCTACTGAGATGATCTTGTGGTTTTTGTCTCTTATTAATATGGAGTATTACATTGATTAATTTTCCTTATGTCAAACTAACCTTGCATTCCTAGGATAAATCATATTTCATTATAGTGTATAATCCTTTTTATATGTTTCAGATTAAGTTTGCTAGTGTTTTGTTGAGGAGTTTTGTGTGCATATTCATATGTGGTATAGCATTGTTTTTAACAGTGAAAATTTTGAAACAACCCAAATGTCCATCAACAGGGAAGTAGTTATATAAAATACATAGCAATGTAAGCCAAAAAAGAATAAGAAGAAGAAGAAGTAGAACTATATATAATAACATGCATTACCTCGAAAACATATGGTTTTTAACGTAACAAATGTAGGATAATATAATATGGAGCTATAATGTTACTCCTAACATTTATGTAAAATATAGACAGATATGAAAATACCATGCTATTTTTATTTGTTAGATATGTCTATAAATAGTAAGATATATGAATACTGTATATAAAACTGATAGTGGTATTTTCAACAGAGGAGAGGAGTGGGATTAAGGAGATTTGAAATTTATCTGTATTAGTAAAATTCTTACAATGAGAAAATACACTCATGTGTATTTGTGTAAATATAAAATATGTAAATTGTTTTAAAGAGGGAAAATGAAAATGAACTCACTAACATACGTAAACCTGCACCCTAGTAAATTTCACTGTAAAGCAGGGGAAAGTTCTGATGACCTGCAACACTGTCCTGTCTCTCCCCACCACAAAAACCTACTGCAGACAGCTGGAACAATTAGAACTTGTCTCACTTCAAAGCATGAAATAAATTTTGAAAGAAAACCACAGAATCCGTGCAAGTATATTGCAATAGGAAAAGGATGGAAGGGAAAAGAAAAACAAATTACTTAAAAAAAAGAAAACCTCACCAGCAAAATGTTACCAAGGAAAAGGTGAAAATTATGACCCAGTGGTGCTGCCATGAATTGCAAAAACTGATAAACAATAGCCTCAATAAAACAAGAAGGCATAGCTAAGACACAAGACCTCGAGGAAGATACAAAGACACAATGAAACAACAAAGGGAGATGAAGCATGACTTAGCAGAGCTGAGGAAAGACACAGAAGTTGTCAGTGAATCCATCATAGAAATCAAGTCCACATGGAAGCAGACAAAGAAAATCAACACCACAGAAAACACAGTAGGAAGCATGGACGACAGGAAATAGCACACAGCATTTTAAGGCAATACTGTAGTTTTTCAGGGGGTAAGCTGCTTAGTCTCTGCTGTCAGGAATATGCCAGGGGTATTCAAAGAAAGGTCAAACTACAACAAAGAGCAAAAGAAGCTTCAGCAGATGCATGAGCCCAGGGCACTTTTCATTCATGCTCCAGGGAGATGCCGTTCACGTGGAATGCCAGGCTGTGTTAGTTTGCTATGGTTGCTGTAACAAAGCGCCACAAACTGGGTAGCAGAAACAACAGAAATGTTCTGTCTTTCAGTTCTGGGGGTGAGAAGTCTGAGATCAAGGTTTTGTCAAGGTTGGTTCCTTCTGAGGTCTGTAAGGAAGGACCTGTTCCAGGCCTCTTGCCTAACTCCTGGTGGTTTGCTGGCAACCTCTGACCTTCCTTAGCTTGAAGAAGCATCATCCCATTTTTGCCTTCATGTTGTCATGACGTTATCCCTGTGTGCATGTCTGGGTTCAGGTTGCCCCTTTTTATAATGACATTAGCCATATTGGATGAGGCCTCCCCTATTCCAGTGTGACCTCATCTTAACTAAATATATCCACAGTGGTCCCATTTCCAAATAAGCTCACATTGTGAGGTACTGGTGGTCAGGACTTCAACATATGAATTTGGGGGAGGGGGACACAGTTCACCCCGCACCACACGCAAATAGTGCTCTCTGGAAATTGGGCAGCTGGGACGTTCTGGCCACAGAATAGCATTCCCCCTTAGTTGACTCTTAATTTCTCAGGCCTGTACCCACCCACGGTCTCTGAAACCACCCCTTGGGAGCATGGTAGGTAGATTTTGATGGGGACGCTGCTGGATGGGCCTCTGATCCAGTGTGGAGGCGTGGTTCACCTGTTTGTCGTTTGTGGCTGCAGGTTACATCGAAGCTGCTATCATTCCTGCTGGAGCTCGGAGGATCCGTGTGGTGGAGGATAAACCTGCTCACAGTTTTCTGGGTAAAACAAAAATGATTTAACTCACAATTTGTGTGTTGAGAATTGATTTTGATGATTAGTCTGATATATTCAGTTCAGCATCGTTCTCCTGGGTCCTAACCCATTTTACACCTGTATTTTAATTGTAATGACGTGAGTACCCAGAGTGAACCAAGCAGCATTATCAAATTTGACTAATAAGCAGCCACACCCAAGATGGATTGGGGGCAGGGATGGGTGGGCCCACCAGCTTGGGGACAGAAAAGTGAAGGAAGTAATGAGGAACTGGTAGAGTTAGTCCCCTGCAGTAACCCCAGGAGAGCCCAGAGCAGCTTTAACTTGCGTAGCACAGGCCCACCAGGCCACTCGCAGAAAGACCTGTAGGTTCTCAGTGGCTCTGGGAGTGTCTCCATAGCTGGAGAAAGAGCGGCAGCACTAAATCTTATGGGAACCCAGAACAACGCTGATTTTCACTAAGGTCTATGTACCCCAGATTCCTAGTGGCCAACTCCATTGACTTCCAGATATCTGCATGTTTCTATAGACTTGGGTTCTATTCCTGACTGGTCTTCACTGCCCTCCACAGCATGATGGGTAAAGCCTAAGAAGAGTCATTCAATTAAACTCCTCCTAAGCCAGAGAAGACCCTGTAAGTGTGTCCTGGCTCAATTCCCAGCCTCCCCATCAAGCCCAGCAAAGGTCAGCCCAGTACTTGACCATCAGGGTGATTGGAGTTCTGAGCTGAACACGTAAGTGTTCTCTCTGCAGATCACAGGAAGCGAACACTGCCACACAGACAGCAGGGTGCCCAGAGGCTGCCTCTGCTCCTAGTTCACTGGCATGGGATATGCTACGACCCCTTGTCCTTCTGCCAGTCCTAATCCCATGTTCCTGTCTTGGGTTCAGTTTCAAACTAGAGGTGGCTGATCTTCCACTCAGGTATCCCGCTCCTGAGCGCCCTTCATATTATAGTCTTTCAGCGTGTGTTGCAAGGTGCTCATGGAGCTAGAAAAAGAAAAGAAAAAATAAGACATGATTTCTCTGGTCTCAAACTTCCTGCAAGCTGCCCGATGGGCCTGTGCTGCTCAAACCCTTTTATTTCAATTTTCATCACTGATAGGAAAAGAAGACCTCTTTGCCTACGTTCCTGCCTTTGTAGACTGCACAGAAGTATCCAAGTCTTTTTTTGAAATGGTCTTTACTTTAGACACTCACAGTCCAATGAGACAAGAAACAAACCTGTAATAGGCAAGTTTACAGTGAAGACTGCCATCCTGTTATTCAAGAGTTAGGAAACACTTAAAGGCACGAAGCCGCTCCCTGCACACCTGCCTTAGGGGAAGCAATAGAGGCAGGTGCGCCTGTGTCCAAGTGCCCACACCAGGACTCACTGGCACCATGCCCCGTGGGTCCCCTGTGCCCCAGGCAGTCCTGCCACCTCCTCCGTGGCTTTGTCACCTGCCGTCCATGCGGCATCCTTGAAGCTGTGATGGCTACCGCTGCTTCTGCTGTCCTCGAGGTGGATCCACGTGGATCTGCATCAGCCCTGTGGTTCTCCTCACCTCCCCTGTGTGGACTCTGCCCCAGCCCTGCCTGTCACTCCTTCCCCAGCTGTCCCAGCTGTCCCTCCACAAATAGAACAATGCTCGTGCATGCTTGCTGAAACAGGGCCTCCTGCTGCTTTTGGCAGCTTCTTGGGAGTAATGGCTTTTTTACTAAATTCCCAAAGACCCCACCCCCTCTCCTTCTGTCCACCCGAGGAAATTAGGTCAACCTCACCAGCATTTGCGGTGGAAACGCAGTCACCTAGTGCCACCCCCAGAAATTACCCTTCCCAGCTGGTGCATGGGGGAATGCACCACTCCTACCTGGGAATGACATTGCCACTCCCCGGGCACACTGGACCTCATTGCAAGGCTGGCGTCCCCTTTCACCCTCGTGTTGTTCAAAATCCATAATCTGGGTACTCTAAGAGCTGGCTCAACCCTGAGGTCGGCTTCCTGGTTCCTCCATCAAGCACCAGCAGCTGCTCCTGCAAATAAGTCTTTTGGCCTCTGATCCTGGCTTCTGAGCTGTCCCAGCTCTGTTCCTGCACCTGACCCCAGGCCCCCAGGTGTCCGGCAAAAACAGGAATGTTTTCTTTACTTTTCTGTGGCAATGTAAGAATGACAGAAGGAGGTCAGAATCCTCTGGATCACTTCTCAGCTTCTAATTCCTCTGGTGGCAAGAAACTTTTCCCTGGGACTCACTTTAGGGCAAAGAAGTACTAACTAGTGGACGCTGCCCAGGGGGTCAGCTCTCATGATGGTCCCTGTCCGCTCCTGCAGCCTCAGGACCACATACACAGACAAGAATGAGGACGTCCACGTCAGGGCTCTCGGTCCCTGAGCCCTGCTGTGCGTTAGAGACCTGATCGCTGATCCCTCCAGAGACACTGCAGAGTATCGCTGTGCTTCCTCCACGGAGCAGCGAACCGGAGCTGCAAGGGCGTGGCAGCTCGTTCAAGTTCCTCTCTTCCCCTGAGTCTGCTGCAGTTCACGGAGCCCCTCTGCATTGCCGTGAGGTGTCCAGTCACAGCCAGAGATGACTGACGAGAAGGTTTTTCATTGCAGAACGCATGTGAAACCTGCCCATGGTGACTGCTTCATGGTGCACACATCAGAGAAGCAAACCTCCATCCCTAGGAGACGGGTTTCCTGTCTCGGGGCAACTTCTCAGCCCCCCCAAAGCACTGGGTCACCACGGGAGGTGGGAGCCAGCTTCGTCCCTTTATCTTTTCTGAAAATCATAATCCCAGTATTCTGGGGCCTGGCTCCTGGACACAGGCGAGCCGAAGGTGGTCCATGCTTGTCATGTTTCTCGAGTTGGTTCCAGCAAGCCTCGTTTCCACTCGGGGCTGGGTGCTTTGGACGTCGACCCAGGGTAACTTTGAATTACTCTCACATTTGCTGGGAGCAGTTCCTGAAGAATTTCACCCCACCTACCTTCAGCCCACGCTGGCTGGCTTTCTGCTCGAAACCACCTGGAACAGGAAATGCCTCTGCAGTTTGTATCCATAGCTAAGAACAGAGCTGGCAGAACTCCGAGTGGAAATAAAAGGAGCTGACCTGGTGCCAGGATTAGAAGTAGGTTGACTGTGGGTCAGGTCTTCCAGTTGCATCCAAGAGGGAGAGAGACGAAAAGAACCCTACCCCGGCTTCTGCACAGCTCCGTGCCAGAGCGGGACATGCAGACTGGGTCACAGCTCAAGTCTGCCCCCAGCCAGTTCCAAAGAGGAGCCGTGGCCTCCCATTGGGAACGCTCCCTCCTCATCCCCTGGAATGGCTCATGGTGTTCCCCTCACTGTGCCTAGAAGTCCAGGGATGATGTGTAAATGTCCACAGAGAGGAAGAAGGGCCAGTATGGAAATGGACCTCAGCACATGACCCTATGTTCCAGGCCACCGAGGGGGTTTGTTCTGCCATAGTAGCTAAGGAAAATGTGTACCCACCATGTGGTGCCCCATGAAAGTCTAACTATTGAGAGGCTTCTGAGCAAAATCCACAAAAGCAAGCACTGTTATATCTTGGAAAGTGGTTTTAAAAATCTAACCTCTGGCCCAGGCAGAACCAGCAAGTGAAAATCTCCTTCTCCAGCAAATCAGATATCACTCCAAATATCACTAATAAAATCAGGTTGCTCAAGGAATTCCCTGTTCTTCATTATTTGTCCATGAAATCACAGCATTTGTAATCATCTTAATAGGCCCTGTTGAGTCTTTCCTGGGTCCAAAAATCCTGATTTCAAATGCAAACTAATTGATCTTGAAATGCTTACGGACAAAGGGGGCTTGGATATATCCATTGATGCCCAAGGGTTGAGAGGGCCAGGAACTCGTAGAGCTGGAAATGTATTTAATTTGGAGGGCCTTCTTCAGGAAAAAGGATATGTTGTGCCCAGGGCCTCGCAAACCCTGCCCTGCACAGCTCACAGAAGCCAGGAGAGCAGCCCAAGCTACTGCAGAAGGAGACCAGAGGTAACTTGCATTCTCTCTCTGGAGCCGCCATGGCCCCATGAAGTCCTTGCCTTGTTGGACTCCACGTCGAACCTGTTTATTTGCTGTTAACATGATCTGGGTGTTCCAGCAGAATCTCTGAAGTGGAAATCTCTCTTGAAGGAATGTCAGGTGCTAAATTCTTATTTTAGAGGGGAAGTTCCAATTTTTCAGCATGGACCACAGCAACCTGCAGATGTTGAAACTTGCTGACTAAGTTATACCAAAGTCAACAGGTTGGAAAGCGATCTGCATGCCTCCTGGATACCAGTGACTTCCTGCTTTTAACTCTGCCTCTGTTTTCCTCTCCCTGGGGAGTGCATGAGTGAGTGTCACCTGGAGCTAGCTGTCCAGAGGGAAGGGTGCTGGCTCCGAGGCGGGCACCAAACAGCAGCTGGACAGCTGCATCTGCAGAGCTTGGGAGCTCGCAGCTGCTGTGGGGATGGCCACAAGCAGGGCTTGGGCACACAAAAGTTTATTCTTTCTGGGGCCACGAGAGTCAAATCACACCCGCTCCCCTCTCAACAAATTGGTGACAGTGTGAGATTTCCCCAAGTCAGCAGCCCCAGACCAGCGCCTCCAACACAAGGACAGGTGTCTTCAGAACTTGGGCTCCCAGAAGCTCTGCGTGGTTCGTGAGAGTCAATTGCACGCCAGGTGGATAACTTGAAATCTACCATGTTGAGGATATTTATACCTTGGATACAGCATGTGCTATAAAAAACTAGGCTATTTTCCCCAGGGAGCTGGTTGTCACCTGTGCTCCATTGTTTGGTGTGCTCATCCCCCCACTCAGTAGCTGACCTTGTCTGGGCTAGTCGGTTAGCCACGTCTGTCTCTCTCACTTCCCATTCCCCAATTCCTTGACCATAACCAGCAACTCTTCCGCGTTCTCCCTGCAACCCACTCCTGAAGCGTCTCTTCCACCCACCTGCCAAGGACAAATGAGACCCTGCTCTGGTGATCAGAGGTAGCACACCCCAAGCCCCAGCTGGCTCTGCCTCCACC